ACTTAAATTTACTTAAAATTAATATAAATTAACTTAGCGCTACTAGTTTCGGCTCCAGGATTGGCCTTTGTATAAAGAAAATTCTTATTCAAATGTTTTTAATTTTTTACTTGTAAAAGATTCATTTTTTGAATATCTCTGAATTTTTGCACTCATGTTGGATTCTTTACACACAAATAAAAAAACTTAATTGACACATTACTTTTATATTATTAGTACTGCTGTAATAATTGTATGCGTTACTTTTAATTCTTCCGCATTTGTTCCATATTTTAATACATATTATAAAGAAAAAAATTATCCAATTATGTATTCAGAATTTTATACAATGACTGCTATCTAATTTTTTACTTATGACGTTACTAATTTATAAATTGTGGACACCCAATACTCAGGTTTTGAAGATATTGTCAACTTTATACTATTTTATATTAATTAATTTTCCACTGAATTATTATAAATTTTAACATTGAGAATGACCCGATCGGAGTCGAAACGTTTGTTGTATATCTAATATGTATATCTAAGATAGATTATTAAACATTAATCTTGTCAAGCTCGTAGCCCTCTTTTGTTTATTACTTATTTTTACATTATTATTTAATTATTTAATATCCTCTCAAAGTATACAATCAGTGCTAAAAAGATGGACTATTATATTATATATACGGATATTTAAAACCTTTTGTCACAAAGGATACACGTGAAAAAATAAGCACCTCTTTCTGATCAATGTATAGTTAAAAAATATATATACAGAGGTTTCGAAAAGCAGACGGAGACTTTAATGCGAAGGAATAGCTTTGAAATCTGAGAGGACTCTATAGATAACGGAAAAAAGTTGAACCAGAAAAGGACTAGATAAATAACAATGCCGGTGCGGTGTGGTAGAATCAGATCACAAAGCGCACGGCTTAGAAAAGCTTTAGAAAGTCCTTGCAATTGTCGTTCCTCGTTCTTGTAGATAAAAGTGCAATTAAATTAGCCGCTCGCGTAATAACTGCTTGAGCAAACGATATCCTTATTCATATTGTGAATTCGTATCACATTTCGCATTCGGGCAGCGTCTAATTGACGAAAGTAATGCGATCTATATATGGTTAATTTAGCTAACTTTCTTGCTAATTTTGCTCTTCATTCCTTGTCCCATTCATTTCTAGAATAAGGCAAGGCTTCGAATTGGCATCGAGTACGTTACTGATCAATTTGGGCCGACTACTATATTATCTAATTATATTCAAGTTTCTCGCTGTTAATTTAGAAATTTCCCCCTTAAAAAGAAGAAAAATTGATCCATTCGTGGAGATCTCGATAATTCTTATTAATATAACTTCTACATGTTCTTCTGATTTCTTCAAGCCTTAATGTATACGAATATTCGAATAATGTCGCGGTAAATTTACGTCATTCTGTTGCCAGTGATAAATAACGTATATTGTGAATTTTTCAATTTACCTATACAAATTCAGGACGAATCGAGTTAGGTACCGAATGGACAATTGATCAGCGCGAATATTTCCGTTTTCTCACAAATATTGAATTTAATTGTTCTGCATACGTTATTCAGTTATTGCGTACGTCGAAAATTATTAATTTAGGATACAGGTGCATTTATTAAAAAAAAAAAAAAATAATTTGCTCTACTGTTTTCTATATGTTACATTTAAATATACATATATTGCGAGGTAGATAATATTGATGCAAACTTTCTATATGAATAGCAATTACACTTACATTGTTCTCGTTCTTTTTGTACAGCCTTATCGTCCTTATATGAAAATTAGCTAGTTCTTCTTCTTTTAATACGGAAACGCCGATACCCCCATATTCCTCGTCTTTTTCTTTATTCGCCGGCCAGTACTGTACACACATCACCTGTAAGAGAAAGCGACTGAAAAGCTGTACAGTATAAAAAATTCATAAAACAAACTCTAAGCTCTCTTAAAGCTGATTCGCGGTCAACGTCATCGTATGATAAAAACTACTTTTTGCAGAGTGGCAACTTTAATGGACACTATTTCCAAGCTCTGTGTTATGTTTTTCTTTTTTACGAAAGTCTCGCTGTAAATGGCTTTTTACCCTGATAAAGTCAAAGGTTTTCGTGAGCATAACGATGCAAGAAGCTTGCTCTTGCCAGACCATCCGCCAGAATTCGGTCACCGTGTTCTCCATAGGTCCCTGAGTAACGATGTAAGCGTTCGGTTTCAATATACTCTGAAATGTAATATTTGATGCTGTAATTTGATATTCATCGACACACGATTAATATTCATCTAAGTCTTTCGCGCGGATGTAATATTCAGCTTGCATAAGTCTTTAAGCAAGAGATACATATTCAAATTCGCCGATATAACAAATTCTCGTCTTTTTTGCGAGATAAAAGACATTCTATTTAATTATTAGATCGCATATGAAATCAGCAAAACGCGCTTAATTTAACCTTTATTTATTAATGTAGATACTTATTAGTAATAACTGAATATCACGACATACTCACATCTACGTAGGATGCATTAACGTAATCGGAATCAGGCTCGCCTTCTATCGTCTCCAACACTACCCTATTATAGTCATCTACGAAAAGAAACGAAGTAAAACATTTTAGTCCTTTTGGTGGTAAAAGCTTATTCTAGAACTCTTATTCTAGAACTGAAATAAATCTTCGTTAAAGGGACAGGGCACCGGCAATTGTAACCATCTTGTAACCGTGCTTTATTTCCTCTATTGCAAGAAAATTACTTAACAAAAATCCAAAAATCGTTAATCAGTTCGCAAAACAGTTATTAACGTAATAGATTCCTGTCGACATTTTTTAATTTTTTAATACAAGCTTCTCACGATAATTGTTGCGATAAAGATTATTTCTATCAATATATTATAAAATTTTTTATTTATTCAGTACAAGCTCGAATATAATTAAAAACCTTTGAATCTGCAAAATATACTTGCAATTATATCCGCTATCAGCTTGTTCGCAAATCATTGAGAAAGGGTACTTGTTACACAATGTTTAAAATCGATGTTCTACATCATTACGCGTACAATCAATACGATTCTCTAACGGACGTGGAAATAATGATGTTCATGACGAATGAATAAAACGCTTAGCCTACATAAAAACAGAAAGGGCTATCTACGATTAGTACTTACATGGAATACACTTCTGATTTTGATTTTTTTCCTTATTTGCGGGTTTTGTAGCGTGTCTGCACGAATGTGTTTCCACCTTTGTTGCTGTCTGCAATAAACATAGAAAACGAAACATAAATGAATGAAACCTTAATGTAAAAACCTTAATATGTACAATTATCAGGAAATTTTGCGAATTATCTGGAGACACGGTAGTGTCTCGGCGCTAAGCCAAGTGCGCGACACTGCCGTGCCTCCTTT